TATATGTTGTAAGTTATTGAGCTTTCATCTTGTGGACAAGAATGCCAAATTAGTCTCTCTTCATAAAAAGCAATTACCATTTGAGGACATTTCATTTTGCCAGCACCAAGTCAGCCTCATCTGAATCTTTCCGTTCATGAGAAACATCAGTTCTCCGCTACTATCTATGGTGCCAGTTACTCATTCAGGTTCGAGACTCTTGCAAAACCTCTAGGTTTGTCAGCAGCATCACTTTTTTTCTTTGATTTGTGTCATCCGATTCACTGTCAGATAAAGATTTCCTTTCTGTACCATCTTTTTCTTTACCAGCATTTTGCAAACTAAGAAATGCTTCAGTTAACTCTGGATAATGTACATTTTCTTCAGGTTCCCATGTATTGTCAGCATCTGTAAATCCCTTCCACTTTAGAAAATACTCCACCTTCCCATTCACTACACGTTGGTCCAGTACTTTTTCTACCACAAACTCTTCAGGTTCTGCTTCCTCAACTTTTTCACTTTTTCCATTTTGTTAAAAAAAGAAAATCATTCCTTTTAGGGAAATGGAACTCAGGACCTTGCACATTTGTAGGCAAGTGCTTGATCAGTGAACTGTTCTACCAGCCCTTTGTGAATTTTATTCGGAGATAGGGTCTTGCTGAATTGTCCATGCTGGGCTCAAAGTTATGACCCTCTTCCTCAGCCCCCCAAGTAGCTGGGATTACCAATGTGTGACATTATGCCCAGTTTCAAGTTTTGTTATTATCTGTATTGTTATTAAAATCTGCTTTTAGAGGCAGTCATAGTGTTCTTGAGTCCAGAGTTTAATGCAGCTTGGACAAAATACTAGGTTATGAGAATTTGTAGAAAAGATTGAGTTGAAGTGAAGAAATAGAAGTTCAGTCAAGTTAAGGACAAGATCACATGTCTGCTGTAATGGCAACAGGCTTCAGGAGCTGGTGTAAAGCTCTGTTGTGTGGTTCAGAACCAGTGGTATTAGCTATCTGAAGTATTCCCATTATTGTCCATCAGTATCTTTTTTCTGTTTCCTTACTAAGAACCAAAGTACATTTTGGCTTTATAATTCTTGATATTTTCTCCATTGTAGTGAAAATAAAGACTAAATAGCATTGGAGATGGAAGGGTTGGGTCTAGATTTTATGCTGGCTCTTCCACTTCCTTGTGGTACATATGACTTTGGGATCTTCAATTTTCTGTGGTATTATACAACTAATTAGATAATTTCTGAGTTGTCTTCTGTCTTGAATTCTTTATTCTTCCGAGTTTTTCCCAAATACTGTATTTATCCTCCTCAGTCTGCTCATTACAGATCTCAACCCCTGGTACTCTGATAGAACTGATCTGTTTCCCAGGTTACTTTGAATTAGAATCTAGTGGGAATTCCCTTGACTCATCAGTTATGTATCAGGAGACAAAATACTTCAATGAAATAAAATAATTACCTGTGCTTTTATTCCCCCCAGCACAAAGGATTGAACACAGGGCCTTGGCATTGTGCAATGTCCTCAGCCATCACCCTTATAAAAATTATTAAACTTTGCAATTGCCTAGGATGGGTTTGGACTTATGATCCTTCTGTCTCTGTCCCAAAGTGCTGGGATTATAGGCATGTATCACCATACCTGGGTATAACCAGCACATTCTAAATGCCATTTTTTTTTTTTAAAGAACACACTTGATTAGCAACATATATAACAGGACACTTGATACTGTAAGGACAATGTAATACTAAGTAGTGTACCAGTTTATACTACACTCAGCATACTATAAAATAGTATTAAGTTAGGTTCTTGATACAGAGTTTAGGCAGGGTGAATTTTGCAGAGATTCCATTGTTAACTTTGTTGTGTTATCCTGCCAGTTCTTTAAAAAACAACTGAAAGTTTTAACCTGCAAACTGATAGACGTTAAATTAACGTATTTACCAATATGTAGTCGTGAAAACAAACATATAATTTTCCTAAATACTTGTGCATCTAAGCACGCATACTTTTAAGTCAGGACAACTATAAAAATGGATGCCATGTGCTATATCTATTTCTGATAAGTTAAAAAGAAAGATTTAGCGGCCAGGGAGATGGCTCAGTAGAATAAGTGCTTGCCTGGTAAGCGCGAGGGCCTGAGTTCAATCCCTGGTTCCGCTTAAAAAAAAAAAAAAAAAAAAAGAAAGAAAGGAAAAAAAAGAGATTTAGAGGTTGACCAAGGTGGTGGAATGGTAAACATCAAATAAAGAGCCTGAGTGTTGCTTTCCAGATGCTGAAATAATAGCAAAATGAGGAAGACAAGAGGGAGGGGAGTGGGTCCCTTGGACCCCTGAGGTGCTAATTGAAGCCCACAGAGAGAGTGAATTGAGAAACTCCAGTGAAGAGGAAGCCAGCAGCACCTTCTTCTTGAGATGGGACTCACTGTGTGAGAGGAGGGATTCAAACCTGAGGATACATGGTGACTGCTGATGACCCCAGAAGCTTCTGCAGAGAGCTACAGCAATGGAGGAGAGGGGCAGATGTGAAGGATTGCACTAGCTGGTGGTGAGTGCTCAGGGCTCAGTGATTCCACATGAGAAAGAACAATTGGCTGGGGGTCAACTTGGAGAAGGGCCAGCTGAGCTCAGCACTCAGGGCAGCTGCTGGATCATCTAACTGCTCTCAGCTGGGCTCAGGCCCACAGAAAGTGTGCTGACAGTTGCAGTCCGAATGAGTCTGGTCTCAGACTGAAGGTGCAGGATTGCTGAGATTATCCATTACCCTGTCAAAAAACTACTGGCTTGTTCAGATAAATCTGCATGTTGCCTACCATTGACAGCAGAGACACACCTGGAAGTGGACTTTGTTTTCTTTCCTTTTTTCTCTCTTGTTTTTTTTCTTTTTGTCTTCTTCATGCTAGCCTTTTTGTAGCTTTTGTTCTGTCCTGTCCTGTTCTTCTTCTTCTTTTTTTTTTTTTTTTTTTCAGAACCAGGAATTGAACTCAGGCCCTTACACTTGCCAGGGAAGCACTTATTCCACTGAGCCATCTCCCTAGCCCCTGTCCTGTTCTTTTTATCTCTCCCTTTTCTCCCTCTAGTCTTTTGCAACAGTTTCTCAAAGTTAATGTGATCCCCCTCCAGCCTTACTTCTAATCTGTTCTTCTTATACCTATTTTTTCCTTAACCCCTTATAGATTTTAAACCCTTAGGGTAAAATTGATATATTAAGGGCTTACATGCTACATATAATTTTCTGGTCTGTTTTAGATTTGTTGTATAACCACAAATCTGGTTCATATGGTTAAAGGTGGCAAATTAATGGTTAGCTCAGTTTATTATTTTCAAGGCTGTGATTATCACTACTGTTATAGCCATAATTGTTTTAAATAGCTATTCCTGGGGGCTGGGGAGATAGCTCAGCGGTCTTAAGAGCTTGCCTGGCAAG